TATGTTTTCGTCAAATCTCCCACCACCATCGGCATTCGATTCTTAATCGAAACAGTGAACTAAATGAAAAACACGATATAAATAATATTGTTTAGGCAGCGGCCTCAATGACCATAGTGATGAGTTCAAGCTGAATTTGTTTATATACACGATGGGGGTTGTAAGGAGATGACATTGCCATTTCTGTTCGGTTGACGGAATAAAAACAAACGTATGAAAACACGCAGGAGAAAGTCGGAGTTCGCGTCATTACAATGCTTGAGCGGCAGTGATTGTTTGACTGCAGGCAAGGCACGAATGAATCTGCGAAAGGCTTCATCGCCAGCTAGGAGACATAGAGAAGCAGTTTATTCGTGTTGTGATAATCTCAAGAGGAGGCGATCGTGAGTTGTTCGATGTCTCAACCCTAGGTAGTGATATGACTCTTCGAAAAGCAAAAAACAGATTCCGACATACAGGATAATTGATTTGTCAACCAATACCAGCATACAAATAGAATCTAGAATAACTATAATGGCTCAAAGATACTGTCACATCAACTACAAAGGCGAGGAATCTCCGCAACAAGCTTCAAGTTCTTATATCAGCAAAATCACCTTCGAATAGCTTTCCTTAATCAGAATTAGCATTATAATCTGTCGCGACGAAGCTTGTGAGCTTCGTTCCATGTAGAGTCAAAATATCTGTTTAATATGAATTTTATCAGCTTCTTGTATCCAAAGTGAAGTTTCTTGAATACCTATGCGCTCGGACCGATAACTCAACTCCCGAAGGAGAGCAATTGTGGAAAGTGCAACGGCAGTTGACATACTGATCCATGGTTGCACCAAGGATCAGCAGTCCGTCTTCGAGTCATCTCGACGTGACTGGATGAACACAGCGCCCTACTCAACTATAAGAAAGACGAAATTGCAACGCAATCTGTCAAATTCATCGATTACATCATCGACGCTGAGCGTGGAATCCTGCCGGATCCATCAACGGTGGAAGCTATCGTTGAAATGCTGATGCTGGCATGTGCAGCAGACGTCAGTTGCTTCCTAGGAATGGTGATTCACCAGCTGAAGTCCATGAAAAATTTCTCGACGATGACACAATCACTGCGTGAGCTGCGATTTTACGAGATGGAGTTGGTACGGAAAGGGTTCCACGAGAAAGTCACTGCTGATATCAAGGCAGAATTGATTTCTGCTTCAGCGCTAGCCGAATAAACGCACCAGAGTATCATCGGATCTGGCTTGAGAGCCGTATTTGATCAGCTGCACCCAGCCTAGAAGTACTTCGCGTTTCGCACACTCACAGTCACAGAGTGTCGATACGCTCAAACCGAGAAGGAAGTTCTCGCTTTGTTGCTAAGTACGGACCACAAACCTATCGTATCGCTTTTGAGCCAGAATCCACTCAGTGAGCTGACACCACGCCTGCAACGTTTGAGGATGTACTTGATGAGATTATTCAACACCGTTAGGCATGTTGCAGGCAAGTTACCCATGTCGCCAGACACTCTTCTCAGGGCTCCGATGTCGACGACAGCGCCTGCTGACGACAGAGACCTGCTTAGAGATACCGACGTTGCTATGCTAGGAGTATCATCGCCGATCTGCTGGTGGCCGACCCTATCCTGAGGAGATTAGAAAAAGTCCAAGAAAGCGACGTTCAAGCACAACTACACATTCTAGAAGGATGGTTGCATTTCTAGGACGTCGAGGCCATCCATCAGGGAGCGGGCCAACTTGTCTGTAGTCGAAGATCTTCTAGTGAATGGTTCACGAATCTAAATTCCCAGGTAGTTTCTAGACGACATACTGGTACGGCTGCATAGAAACCACCAAAGATGTCCGTCGTACTTGTACAGAGTGCAAATTCTACTGACAACACAGTCCACAGCCTGAGAAGCCCCTATTTATGTCTTAGATACTCGATTGACCATGACAGCGAGTGGCAGCAGAGTTGTGCCAACGTGGGAACCAACACTACCTGGTGGGTGTGAACTACGATTCACGTTACCCGGAGGTAGCGAAATTGGTATCGCTTTCAGCATGAGGTACGATCATCAAACTACGCGATATATTCACGAGACATGGAGTTCTCGCGCAACTGCAAGCTGACATAAAACCACAGTTCAACAGAATTGAAGAATCGGTCTGTTGTTGCAATTGATCCTAGAATAAGAGTTTTCAATCTCCCATTCATTTTAGCTGAATTTAATACCTGACAATTGGATGGAGTAGAATATTCTTCTTGGATATTCTCTCGAATCTCATCTGATATTTCATCCAGAAATTGATTGTTCATTTGAGAAAATACCAGATTTCGACCGCAAATTAGGATTTGTACCCAGTAGGGGTGTGAGATCAGGATAAGCGGATCTATGAACCTGCGCCACTGTTACCCGCGTAGTTTTTGCTGCGCTCTAAACCGCTGAAGAATTACTTCAACTCACTTCTTGTTTAGATGAAATGTAAAATCGTCATGGCAAGAATGCTGAGGTTATTCAGATTTTGATCACTTCTTGATGCCCAACGTTACCGTGACCGATCTTCATGGTGCCTAATATCACCAATAGCTTGGAACATATTGCCCAATTCCACCAATACACTCGAAATATGATGCCCCATGTCACCGAGTATAACATAATACCTGTAGGTATGTGATGCCCATTGTCACCGAATTGAATTATACGATTGATATTATACCTATAAACCGTTTGTTGAAGAAAAAAATCAGTACTCGATAATTTGAGATTAACATTTTCAGTTATTTCTCCCTCATGAGAGTAAATCGTGATATTGATTTGTTGAAAAACTATATGCATAGATAATTGACTGAATTTCACAAACTCATTATTCACTGAGTGAATTTGTTTGGACATCGGAACGAATATGCCATTTCACGGAAATGGTTTGTTTCGAGCAATTCTAATGAGATACCTTCTTCATGTGAAAGATTTCATAGAATGGTATTCTGGCAGAAATGGAATTCAATTCCAATTTCAATTCAATCAGAAAAATGAGGTGTACATATGATATTCATAACACATTACAGATTTCAGTGTTCCTCTTAGATCGTACGACTGTACCTAAGCATGCTGTATGCTTGTGTTGTACTAGTCTTCAATCCGCAAGGAGCATTGTAATCATACGGATATCATATTTGGCAATGTGTTAAATTGGAATTTATCCAAAAGAGATTCATTTTTATTATTTGTGTAGATAATTGATGAATGAAATACCAATTCATGAGATTTGGTGAGTACTGAAAGAATAACAATTGATCTATTGTATAATTAATTAGAGTAGAATTGTTTTGATTTTGATTCAATATTCGTATTCATTAGATTTTCTCCATAGCTGGTGGTGACAGACCATATAATTCAGGTTCAAAATATTACATAATATATCTTTGAGTGTGGCTTTTTCTGAATAATGGTGTATTAAGGGTGAGATTTTATACTGCGCTAGTATTTTTTCGCGACCCCCACTGACTGATAAGAACGATTCGAATTCTGAAACGTTCATTCTAGGCATTGATAGGCATATAGGCTTTTAACATCAAGTATATTTAGTTGTTCATATAACTGTCCGGTTGAATGAAGTCTTGGTTTGTTGAATATTATTTCCAGTAGTTTATTCTGGATGGACTGGAGTTCTATTGAATTGTTGCGGGACAGACCTCCCCATGCTTTGATACAATACCGCAGTATATATCCATTCAAAGAATAATGAATTATGAATTAGTCTGCGAGTCAGTAGAATAGTATGCTTCTCCCATGTGGTCTATCATGACGCCCATATACTTAATAATATCACATTTTCTCATTTCAATCATTTTCGTGCACTTATATGGTATTTTCCCCTACTGGTTGATTATGTGCTGCTAGTTGAAATGCAATATATTCGTGTTTTTCAACATTCAAGGTCAATAAGTTTTGGTCTAGCCAGTTATTTACTTATTCTACTCCCATATTCTTGCAGAAAAAATTGTTGTAGTGTCTTCAGCATAATAGATGCAGTAGCCTTTATAGTTCTCAAATATTGAATACTATTTATGTATATTAGGAACAGGATTGGACCTAACACTGTCCCTTGCGGTACAGTCATTTTTATTTCTGAGGGATTACTACAGTAATCTCTCAACTTGACTCTCTTAGATCTCTTATGAGAGTAATTTCGCAGGATATCCTGGGCTGATCCTCTCATATCATGATAATAAAGCTTCTTCATAAATATTTCATGAGATATGGTATTGGCCTTGGCAAGCTCAGGAAAGATGTCGAGGCATTTTCACGATCTATCCAAGGCATTAACTCGCACCTCCCTGTAAATGAAATCATTTTTTTCCTACCACAGAACGATTTGTGAAATCGAATCACACCGAGGTACAAGATTACGTGATACTAAGATCGATGATAATAAAGATGATTGAAGAAAACTGCATTGAAGGACCAACTTTCAGAGGGTTCCAGCGGCCTGCGGAAGCATTCTCGGACTCATGTCGATAAGACATGTTTTCATCATTTTCCTTCGAAATATCACCTTCCTCTGTATACGAACGTTATTCTGAAACACCCTGCATACAAAGAGTTCGTCAAAATGTTATAACATCAGTCAAATCGAGTTGACAATATCACTTGAATCTTCTTCATTGAAGCATTCACTATACTGATTTGTCTCAACGGTTGTACCTAATTATGCTTATCAAAGGGACACTCCGGCGTTTTAAAATCCTTGTTTCGAAACGCGTACCATGTATCGTCGAATGAAATATGACTAACAAATATTTCAAATCAATTATTTCCTTTTCTTTCTATTTCCATGAGAATAATGTGAGGTATACAGATAATACTGATATTAATGATGTCAGTGTGCTAATGAAAAAATTGCGTGAAGTGTGATGATTGGTCTTTAAAACACTTTTTGAATTTCTGATAGGCCATCGTGCTCAAAACTTCGGGCATGTTTTGAAGACCTGAATATACACTTACACTATATAGAAGATACTCACGAAGATTCATTTTCTAGTACCAGTTCTTCAAAATCCAATATTATTCTGAAGCCGGGTGTGGCAGTGATATCAATATCGCAGTTTGCATTATCCGGATATTGTCGAGGGAACCCTGGACTTGATACCAGAGATTTTGGCTGGTCTCTTGATAAGAACACAGTTCTATTACAGTTGGGTAACCAGGAATGTTCTAAGGGATCTGAAATGAGAAGAATAACTAGATTCAGACTAAGTGATTAAAATCATAGAGTAATAGTATGTTAGAGAAACACTGATAGATGTTATCACCGTCCAGAGCTGTCGAAACACTGTAAATTCGTAAACAACTCAATAAATGTAACGTGGTGCACAGTGATAACCTACCTCGCCGTAGCGAGTGGTCTGACTGTTCTTTCATCATGTGTTGCATACAGGGCGATCTCAGAGCACCTATAAATAGGCGTTCATGAAGGGACCACAGCATATTATGTACCAACTTATCAATTGCAGTAAATGATAGTGGTTCTTTGAAATTAAATGATTTGATAATACTTTTGGTATATGAAGGGTACAAATTATTGTTTAAAATCATGTTTTTCTCATCTAGGAATTGTCGGAATCATTGATGGGTGTCACAAAAGAATTGAAAAACCCAAAGACTATCCAAACTCTTACATAAATCGTAAAGGTTTTCCATCCATATTGCTGCAAGGAATATGTGATCATAGGAAGCTATTCTTGGATGTGTATGCTGGAGAAGCAGGAAGCATCCATGATGCTAGACTTTTCAGAAGGTCAAGTATATTTTCAAGGATGAGACTCAATCAAGTGGAATTCCCAAATGATAGCCATCTGATTGGCGATCTGGCATATCCCCTATCAAGAAAGTTGATAGTTGGCTTCAGAAATAATGGATATTTCACAGATCCACGAGAAAATTTCAACAAAAAATTATCACAAGTGCGAGTGTTAATAAAAAATACATTTGGATTACTGGAATGCCGATTCAGGAGATTGAAAATGATAGAAACGAAGCGATTAGATCTCATTTCATTACCTATTGTATCTGCTTGTATCCTACATAATATTTGTATAATGAATAATGACTTCATAGGAAATGTGGACCAGGATCATGATGAAAATAATGGTGATATATTTGCAGGAGATGAAAATGGTGAAGGTTCAAGAGAAATGATATAATGAATTACTTAAACGGAATTAATTAATACCCAAAATGGAAAATGCTTTATTCAATTTCAAATATACAATAGGAAATTAACTTGTATTTAGTATTAAACCCATGAGAACACAACCAATTAGGTACTATATTTATGAAACACCCATGAAAAACTCAAATTCTGAAAGATAGCTCCGGAAATAAAGAGCAGGTACTGATGAGTAGGTACTCAATGTTCTGTTCAATCTCTTTCTGTAGATTTATTTTTTTGATTTCCTAATATATCTACCATTTTATCTAGTGTTCCTTGAAGAGGATCTAGACGAATCATTTTCTCTTGATGTCTTCTCTCCACAACATTGTCTTTTTGTCTTCTTTTCTTTGAAAATGTTGATTCAAAGTCACCACTAGCTATTTTTGTTTGACTGTCTTCATTTTGTTTCATAAAACCAGTATTAGAATCCCCACTGATATTTATTATCAGACCACTGTAACTGCTGCAGGTAACAATAGGGTTGATTTCTGGCTTCTTGAATAGTAATTCATCTAAAGCAGTGAAATATTTCCATGAATTTTATTTTTTCCTGTAGTATCATTGTGGCTTTTAATATCCTTGTATGTTTTGACTAAACCTTGCCACTTCGTATCAACCTGTATATGTGTATATTTTGATTTAGTTTTCTCATTCAATTCATTTGCAATCTTCTTCCAAACAAACTTTTTCACAGATTTTTGGAATTCATCATCATATTTTTTCATGAGATTGATAAGTAACATTATTACTCCATGTGTCCAAAGTTTGCTTGTGTCTTCTGAGCTTTTTTCCATTCCAGTAGAACTACTTGCATCAGCAGCATAAGTTGTTTGTAGTGTAAATTCTGTTTGAAGGCCTAACTGCCGCTTCATTTGATCAGATAGAGTAACATACTGATAACTTTCACCTTCAAAAATCATTGTTACTACTGCAATGACAATAAAAATTGTGATTTCTTACCGATTTGGATTGAAATTTTTTCATTTTCTATCATGGGCATGCCTGTTTCTGTGTAAACTATACTAGCTTCGTTCATATTTGACTTCTTATACAAACTGCGAGTGAAACTACTGTGCTTGTACTAATTGAATCAATTCCATAGGATTCAATGATTCAAACCGAACCAGAAACCAGTGCTCAAACTCCAATGATCAATACCTGTCACTCAAAAAGCTGTCAAAGTTGAGATATATCTACTTCCTACAACTTTATTTTTTTCCTGGCTCCATGTAAATTGTGTCTTGCTCTAAATGACATTGAAAAACGGTTCCGGAGGTACACAAGCAAATAAATGTGATTGCAGAACATCTCAAATGTTGAGAGTATTACTTGACCCCAAACATTAGTTTGAGGAATTGGCACATATACATTGGTATCTTGATAGTTCGAGAAATCGTTACAAGGCCCTTGTGATTATTGAACTTGGCAATATCTAACACGGCCAGACTTCAATGAAAGTTTGCTTCCAGAATGATCAGAAATATGTCACTGACCAGTAAAAAGGATGGTACATGTTGTGATAGATGCCCCACCTGAGTTATGAGCCTTGGATACAGCATCCCCTGAATATAATGAGTAACGCACGGTTTTTGTGTAATGCAAAAGGAAGCGGTCGTAACTGGAGTACGAATTGAGGCAGCTCTGAGATTTGTTGATCAAACGTGTCTCCAATCAACTCAAACTTGGAACAACAGACATTTCGGAGAACCGATCAACAACTTGAACTTGGCACAACAGGTTTTCATGAAGACCAGAAATCTAGAGGTTTTGAACGACTTGATTGTTGTGATTATGATGTGTTTCAAGACTTAGGATGATATTATGATACAGTAAGACTAACCAGCTATGTATGATCCATAACAATAAATATCGGGAGTCTTTTAAACTGAGGAAGCCATCGATTAGGTGATGTGGCAGCAGTCAACGGTTTGGATTCATCAAAAAGTCGAATTTGAAAATAAGCCGACTTTTCATCCATGGATGACAGATATCGAGCATATTACGATTTCTTGAACCATAATAAAATCGATTACATACAAACGGTAGCTGTTGGTCGGAGAAACACTGAGGGATCGTTGAATGAAAAATATCGCATAACTCGAATATCGAAATTAAAATTGAGGCGCCACTCAACTTTTGAATTATCACAACTATTGACCCTCGGATCTCAAGTAGCTGACTGGAAAGTTGAGGAACCGAACAAAAAAAGTGATGAATAAAATATTTGACTGCAGATGAGTGATATTAGGAATTTTCACAAAATAAGTGAATGTTCGTCATCCAAAAATGGAGTCATATTGAACGTGACACATATATCATCCACATATCCACAACAACAACGTGATGGATAGAAATATTTGTAGAATGTACATCAAATTATCGTGATCAATCGATGAACATGTGATAGATGTAGATGATATCAATATGGATAGGTATTATATATTATTATACTGACAAAATATATGTGAGCAATCGATGAACGTGAAAGATGTAGAAATTATCAATATGATTTTGTATTAGAATGTTTCTAGTGAGGGTTGGAAATTATGATGAAGTCAAGTCTTAGGATTGATATGTGAATCGGAAAATGTGACGGTATATATCTAAAGATCAACGAGATATCTTGGTTATTCGTCGTATATATAACATTATGAAATCATATAATAAACGCTGATTGATTGTAGGGGCTACCACATATTACTTTGTGTGATGACAACACCGGAGAAAATAATTTAAAATATATGAACGGGTGAAGATACATCTTGATATACCTATTCAGAAAACTACCAAATTCATCAATTCATCACGCTGTGGTGTCGATGACGTAGACAACTTATCAGCTGATGCTACCGGCCGGTGAAGATAGAAGAGCAGCTAGAGCAGTTGTATTGAAGGTGGTCAGCAGACAGGCGCAGACTGAAACTGATGGATATTCAATAAGCTGTTCAGCCTGAAGAACATTTCAGAGGCTTGCAGCTGAGATTGACAGCGAGATTGGCAGACAAAAATCTGCTGATGATTACTCAATTGACACGTCATCGTGTAGCAGAACTCAAATTTGCCGGCGTGAAACCCTTATTGGATGAAAAAATACTAGTAATGCCTGGAATCAAGTTCTAGTAGGGAAAAGTAGCGATGAACTTCAAAAGGACTCACCTTCTTCAGGGGGTAAAAACAGAATTTGAAAAAAATGCCCAGGTTCACGTGATAGATCCTGAATAATGGATCACATCCATCCAAAATCTATGCAATCTTTCTTATAGACGAATGAAATCGAAAGTGTTCCCGTCCTGAATGCGGGACTATGCTCGGATTGTTCAGGAACGATTGACTATCTACAGACTGGTTTCGAGCTTCGTTGGCTCTTATCAGTGCAAGATTGCCTCTATATAGTTTTCTTGACCGCTATGTAGTACGAATCGGACTGAACGTAAACACATCCCAGCATAATTATATTACCCAATAGGCGTACGACATCTGCGAGATGGACGGAAGCCACCTGAGCAGGAGCACAGGAATAGACACTTCGAGAGAGATCATCATACAATGAAAACAACTACTCAGGAGTGAACAGGGTAACCTGGATTTTGGTATTCTTGGTGCGAGAAAAGAGTGGAGTTGGAGTGAGAGGAGATACAGTGATGATAATCTTCGAGTGATGGATAGGTGGCATCCTGCTATTGAAAATAATGGGAAACGAAACAACTAGAAGAGATTTGTACCAAGGGTCCCACCAAACTTGAGAGGTATTTGACACTTGATGAGAAGAGACCTCGGACCAATTTCCAAAGAGTTTCCTGCGTCCTTTCTATCGTGAATTGGATTACTGTTATATTTTGGTGACTAGTTTGTCAACCCTGCTTGATAACCTGAACCATATAAGTCTCTCATCTAAGAAAAATGATTAATTCTCCCATCCCCAAGCTGGCTGGAACAATTTCGAAATCGATCAAAAATCATTTTGTCAAAACTATACTTGTATGTACTTTTCTCAAACTTCTTGGATGGA